GCGCCCGGCCTACTTCATAATGTAATTATTTTGAAATAAAATTTCTTAAAAAAATTAATGCAGTACCTACAAGCCAATAATCACTACAAAACACAAACATACAACTTGAAAGAGCTATGTCAATCTGTTTTTCTGTAAAATTAAAATATATTTTTTTTGTGCCGGCGTTGCGGTGGCTCACCCTGTAATCCTAGTCTCTATAATAAGAGAGAAGGACTGAGCAGCGGAGTTAGCTCCAAGAAGTCAGGAGATTACAAACCAGACATGGACAAGGGAGACCACAGTCTCTATTATAAATAACAAGAAATTAAATTGGCACACTACATAAAAACAAAAATAATATAGATAATAAAAGAAACCGAAAAGAGATATGGTGCGCCTTCTGTAGTGCCCAGTTAACTTGGGAGGGCTGGAGGCAGGAGGAGTCGCTTGAGCCCAGGAGTTTGAGGTGCTGCTGAGCTAGGCTGACGCCATGGCACTCACTCTAGCCTGGGCCACAAAGCAAGACTCTGTCTCAAAAAAAAAAAAAAATTTTAATCCTTTGGTAGTTTATAAGTGTGATGACTGAGTTTTCACGCTTCTGTGTGAGATGTGCCTCCCTTAAACCTTGTTATGAATCAGCACATTATCTGACATGAAAAATAATTTTATTTTAACCAAATGAAATGTCTTCATGATACAAAAAGTGCCAAATCCTTGACTAGGTGTATAGAAAGCAACGAACAGTGGGGCAAAAGCTGTTAGGTATTCAAGGGCAGCCAAATGCAGAAAGACCTATTCACTGGGAAGACAGACAGGTGGTCTTGTTATTATTTAAGAAACCAATACTTAGGATAGAATGATAGAATGGTTAAGACAATTAAAAAATAAATTTCCATTCTACACTATGATTTAAAAAAAAAAAAGAAATTTCTAGACATGGCTTGGCCAATCCCTTAGAAATTACCTAAGAAAACATACAATCTTATAACCTAGGAATTTTATTTTTTTGACTTTCAGAGTAAAAAGTTGACAAATGAGGTTAAAACCTCCCAAATGCCAAATGGAGAATCTACTTTGAGTTACTTGAAAATAATGATCACAATGTCAACTAAAGGATTCAAAAAGCAGTAAATTCACAGAGATGGATCGGCGGATGCCTGTATCCCAAGCTATTCGGAAAGACTGACAGACAGAAGATTACTTCAGCCAGAGTTTGAGGTTGCTGTGAGCTAGGCTGATGCCAACGGCACTTAGCCCGGCAACAAGAGCATCAGCTCTGTCTCAAAATAAATAAATAAAAAGTAATTAAGAAATCATCCAGTCATATAAGAGAGTTTGTCACAATTCAAATATAAGGGGGTTCCTGCTCTTCTGCAAGAGAACTTTGTCCAATATCCAGGCCTAGAAGGGGGATTCTGAGTTTCAGTTCAAGGCAGTTGGGTTGCTTCTAAAGTGCCTTACATCCTTACTGTTGCCCAACTCTGTGAAGTGCCGAAGTAGGAGCTGTGGCTGTGGTGTGTATGGCTATTATGACAACAGTGGACTTTATTTTAACAAAAATTACACCCAAATTTTAGCTGCTTTTTTTTTTTTTTTTTTTTTTTGAGACAAAGTCTCACTCTGTTGCCCGGGCTAGAGTGCCATGACGTCAACCTAGCTGATAGCAACCTCAAATTCCTGGGCTCAAGCCATCCATCTGCCCCAGCCTCCCGAGTAGCTGGGACTACAGGCATGTACCACCAATGCCCTGGCTCATTTTTTTTTTTCTATATATTTTTAGTTGTACAATTAATTCATTTTTAGTAGAGATGGGATCTCACTCTTGCTCAGGCTGGTTTCGAACTTCTGACCTTGATCAGTCCCTCCTGGCCTCCCAGAGTACTAGGATTACAGGCGTGAGCCACCTCGCCCAGCCTTTAGCTGCTTTTTGAATCCTTTAGTTGACATTGTGATCATTATTTTCAAGTAACTCAAAGTAGATTCTCCATTTGGCATTTGGGAGGTTTTAACCTCAT